TCCTCTCACCAGCAACATAAGATTAATAAAGATCCATCTTACTGACCTTTCACTGTATACGTTCTCTCACCAGCAACATAAGATTAATAAAGATCCATCTTACTGACCTTTCACTGTATACGTTCTCTCACCAGCAACATAAGATTAATAAAGATCCATCTTACTGACCTTTCACTGTATACGTTCTCTCACCAGCAACATAAGATTAATAAAGATCCATCTTACTGACCTTTAACTGTATACGTTCTCTCACCAGCAACATGAGATTAATAAAGATCCATCTTACTGACCTTTCACTGTATACGTTCTCTAACCAGCAACATAAGATTAATAAAGATGTCTTTTTACGGAAAATTAAACTTTAAAACCGTTTCTTCTTTTTCTTTTAAAGTAATTCGAATAACTTATTCATGAACGCAAAGCAAAAATGTGTAATAATATGTTAAACTCACTATAACTACTATACTCAGAATTGATGAGGCCTTATGCTCTATATCAGGCCTGCTAGGATACGACAGACATATTAGTGGTCTAGGCACTATGTTATGGTATGTATTAGATTTACTTTTAGACTGACATTATACTTAGAATGAAAATTAATAACCACATTCACCACTAGATGGCGGAAGCGTTGCGTATATTTGGGTTTAAATTACTCCAATTATATTTCGTCGAGTCCGTTATTCTCACACGTAAAGTTCTCAGTAAATACAACAGAGAGTTATTTACAAAAATTGATAAAGTTTTACTCTAGACTGAGAGTGGTAGAAAATGTCTGATTAATAATTTTCTCACTTTTTGTGGTTTCACACTGTGACTGATCAATGCTCAAATATAACCACCTTCAAAGAAGTCTCTCGTTATTGTGAGTTCTGGCTCAACCTGGTCTTCTACCACGTCTCTCTTCACTGTGAAATTTGGCTCAAACTGGTCTTCCAGCAAGCCCCTCGTCATTGTGAGGTTTGGCTCAATCTGGTCTTCTACCACGTCTCTTGTCATTGTGAGGTTTGGCTCAATCTGGTCTTCTACCACGTCTCTTGTTATTATGAGGTTTGGCTCAAATTGGTCTTCCAGCAAGCCCCTCGTCATTGTGAGGTTTGGCTCAACCTGGTCTTCTACCACTTCTCTTGTTATTGTGAGTTCTGGCTCAACCTGGTCTTCTACCAAGTCTCTTGTTATTGTGAGTTCTGGTTCAATCTGGTCTTCTACCACGTCTCTTGTTATTGTGAGGTTTGGCTCAACCTGGTATTCTACCACGTCTCTCGTTATTGTGAGGTTTGGCTCAATCTGGTCTTCTACCACGTCTCTTGTTATTGTGAGGTTTGGCTCAACCTGGTCTTCCAGCAAGCCCCTCGTCATTGTGAGGTTTGGCTCAACCTGGTATTCTACCACGTCTCTCGTTATTGTAAGTTCTGGCTCAACCTGGTCTTCTACCAAGTCTCTCGTTATTGTGAGTTCTGGCTCAACCTGGTCTTCTACCAAGTCTCTTGTTATTGTGAGTTCTGGCTCAACCTGGTATTCTACCACGTCTCTCGTTATTGTGAGTTCTGGCTCAATCTGGTTTTCTACCACGTCTCTTGTTATTGTGAGGTTTGGCTCAACCTGGTCTTCTACCAAGTCTCTTGTTATTGTGAAATTTGGCTCAAATTGGTCTTCCAGCAAGCCCCTCGTCATTGTGAGGTTTGGCTCAACTTGGTCTTCTACCAAGTCTCTTGTTATTGTGAGTTCTGGCTCAACCTGGTCTTCTACCAAGTCTCTCGTTATTGTGAGTTCTGGATCAACCTGGTCTTTTACCACGTCTCTTGTTATTGTGAGGTTTGGCTCCACCTGGTCTTCTATCAAGTCTCTTGTTATTGTGAGGTTTGGCTCAACCTGGTCTTTTACCAAGTCTCTTGTCATTGTAAGTTCTGGCTCAACCTGGTCTTCTACCACGTCTCTTGTTATTGTGAGTTCTGGCTCAACCTGGTCTTCCAGCAAGCCCCTCGTCAATGTGAGGTTTGGCTCAACCTGGTCTTCTACCACGTCTCTTGTTATTGTGAGGTTTGGCTCAACCTGGTCTTCTACCAAGTCTCTTGTTATTGTGAGGTTTGGCTCAACCTGGTCTTCTACCAAGTCTCTTGTTATTGTGAGGTTTGGCTCAACCTGGT